CTCCCTGGAGGGCTGTGGGAGAAGGGCTGAGGCGGGCTCTGGGGTTTCATGCAGATTGGGTGCCGTGAGCGCATTACAGAAGTGGTAGCCTTGGGGTGTCTCCTCAGAGTAGGTAGGATTTTAAGAGGAGGACTTGGGGGCGGAGAAGGACTTTCCTGGGGGAGGGACCATCATGGGCAAATGTTTGAAGTGGGATGAGGTATTTTCCCACCTCCCTTGCAGGGATCCTCACTGCTTTTGTCCTTATCCCTTGCAGGATTCCCTCCGAAGGCGCTCCCTGAGACGGCCACTTGCCTTGAGTAGCGTGACCCAGACCCACGAGGAGGAGGAGGAGGAGAGCCGGAAAGCCCCCGAGCTCTCCACCCGCACCCCAGCCTGTCCCGCCCCCCAGGAGGGCCTGGCCTCCAGCGCGGGCTCCACCGCCAGGAGCCCCCTGGGCCAGCTCAGTGAGCCCACCTCAGAGAAGCGCAGATCCATGCCCAGCAGCCCTGCTCACTTGCTGAGCCAAGCGCTGCTCCAGAGGGGAAGCGGCAGGTGGACGGATCTTTCGGAGGACAGCCCAGCCGCGAACAGCGGCCCAGAGGCCGACGGGACGCCCTTGAAGTTCTTGCCGGGTGGGACTGCCAGGACGACCCAGGAGAGGCTGGAACGAGCATTCAAAAGGCAGGGGAGCCTTCCCTTGCCCCTCAGGTGAGCGTGCTGTGCCAGGTGAGGGCTCTTCCCAGAGAGCTGTCAAGTCTCTGGTGGCTCCTTGAGCTCCTCCAGCAAGCATGTGAAGTAGGGACGGTGATTATGGCCCCAAGCGCACATGCCCGGGGAAGTGCCAGACAGGCTCTTGGGCCCTTGTTACATCTTCTCAAAGTCAAGAAGGCTTTAGCAGATGGTCCCCACAGAAACCTGCAGCCGCATGGTCAGGCTGACCCGGCATAAGAGGTGCTTCCTGGGGGAGGCTGGAGACGTGGTGATGCGTCAGCTCCCACAGGGCTCTTGTGGGGCCAGTCCGTTTTAAACCCTGTCCTTACTCCTTTTATTCTTTTGCAGTAGACTTGGTGAGTCCTACATTGATTGAGTGTTGAATGTTAACCCAATCTTACATTCCTGGAAGGAACCCCGCTCGGCTCTGATATATTATCTTTTTACATATTGTTGGATTCGACTTATTAACATTTTGTGTAGGGTTTTATATATAAGTTCACGGAGGAGATTGGCTGGCAGATTTACTTTCTGGCAATAGCCTCGTCAGGTTCTGGTACCTAGGACCAGCTATTATAGACGTGACCCCTCTTTTTTCCGTTTTCTTGAACCATTAGTGTAAGATTGGTGTTCTTTCTTCCTTAAATATTTAGGAGAATTTACCAGTGAAGCCTTCTGAGCACTGAGCTGAAAGGTTTTAAATTATGCATTCAATTAACAAATTTTTTTTT